GTTTCTCCAGGTGCTATACGTCTGTTTGAACAGAAAGTTGCAGTTAGTAAACAGAGTCGCTGGTTTGTGTGTAGCAAAGGGCTGGAATATGCATTGCTGCCGTACCTGAATGCGTTCCTCCTCGCTGTCAAACATGCTCGAGCGCACAGCTCCACCGACTGCAGCCATTGTTTATTTTGCCGTTTTCACCGACAGCAGGTAAGAAATAGTACAAGAAAGATAAAGATTATAATTTAAAGCAAAAGAAAGTTGCTGATGATTCCGCGCAACACAGCAGCCTGTTTCAGTAACCACGAGAACTTTTGGTTTGCTTTGCGCAAATCCGCCGTTGCACGTCAATGATTTGTGCATGGCGGAGAATAGCCGACGAGAGAATAGATATTCAAAAGCCGTGGCCACAAATTAATGGCCTTGAATTGGGCACAACATGGCTAAACTAGGCACGATTGGCAGCAATTTCAGCGATATTGGTGGCATGAAAATCGCGGGCAGCAGCAAATAAACTTACGATCGCCACAGATGCTGGATATGGCAACTGTTTTATTTGGCTTGGCTGATAGCTCTGGGACAGAGTTGGCAGGCCAGGGACAATTGCGTAGACATTTTATACATTTTATACATTGCCTTTTCGTGAGATGTGTGGTTATATCAATAATTGACAAAACGCAGTAGCCAGCGCGAGTGTATTTTACAAAGCAAGAACGTGTTGTTTAGTTTTGCGGTTTGCCTTCTTGGTTTTAATGTATCTTTGGCCGAGGTTTGCCAACTTTAAGTTTACAAAATTAAATACTACCGGCTGCATGCGAGGCAGCTGCATGTCTTAAAAAAATACGTGAACAGCGGTGGTAGTGGAATTATATAGCGGGTGCGCTAGCAGTCCTCTGATCGCATTAAACGCACAGGCTGGCCTAGTTTGTGAGTAAAATAGCATGCTATGCAGTAAACGGTGTTTATAAGCAGTGATGGATGCACCGGCTGCAGCAGATGCGCCCACAGCGGCGGCACAGTTGCCCAGCGTTGACAGGGACGTGTTTGGAGGCCTTGCCGCCGCCGTTGGGAATGGATTTGCCAATAATAGATTTGCAAATGTAATTATTATTGGTGTCCAGAGGGACCTCACACTCAGAAAACACAGAATATAAAAAGATAAGCCTTCTTGGCTCAGTTGGCAGAGCGTCTGCCTAGTAAGCAGAAGGTCGTCAGTTCGATTCTGGCAGCAGGCATTTTTTTGCCCTTTATTTTGCTTGCGCGATATACCGATGCTATTTTTTTGCTGCTACTGTAGTCGTAGCCGTTTGCCGTTATTATTGCAGGTAGTCCGGTCGCGGCGGGCGGTGCCCTCATCAGACTCACGACGTCAATGTTTGTGGTTCCCAAGTAGACCGCCATGGCCAGTCTGCGAGTAGTGGTTTGCAATGGCTTTCTATTCAAGCTCTGATGGAGACTGCCCTCAGCGCGGCAATCGTTGAATTAAAAGTCTCTTTTTGGCCGCTGATGAGAGCGCGTGTCATCTCCAGAGTTTTGTTGTTCACAAAAAGTGTGAACCCTTGTAAGTTACTTTCTGCTCTTGTTTGCACACAACACATACCAATTGAAAACATATTACATACTTTTCACCCAAGGTCTTGCATAATCCCCAGCCGATTCTTCAACATAACATGTAGCTTTGTCAAAAGCTTTACTCTATCACTTGTAATTTACGATAAAAAGGTATCCTGCCCTAGAGTCATTGTCAAGCTCTTTAACTTGATTTACAGTCGCCGGTCTATGCAAAACGTTGTTTTCGCGCTGTACTGGTAGAATCTAGTGCAAAAGGCAAAAAAAACGAAACGTCAGCTACAGGATTTGAACCTGTGCGGGAAAATCCCAACAGATTTCTAGTCTGTCGCCTTAACCACTCGGCCAAACTGACTCTAATGA